TGAAACCTGATTATCATAATGTTTGAGTACCTGACTTTTCTTCTTTATCTTTTGTAAAGACATTGGGCACATTGCCAGCCAGATCATTGTCAAAATGATCTGATTTTGCCTCTTTTTTTCTTTGCCAGATTCTTTTCTCTTGGTTATTAATGTATTTGATAGTTTAGAAGAGGAAACTAATGGCATGAGTTATAAATTGAATGTCTTAGACTCAAATATTTATCTTTAATATTGACATTGTTGAATATGTAAAAGGATGTGTATAATCAATCCCAGGAAACTGGGATATAAGGCCTTGAGAAGCCGACTTGAGTACTCCTTATCAGTTTAATGCTACTTTACTGACTGAACAATTATCCTAATTATCAGCCTCTAGAAATTAGTTCTGATGCAGCTTCCAAATGTCTGATTCTTGATGTATTCTGGGAGCAGGAGACAGGGCAATTGATGGACTCTTCTAAAACCAAGAAGAAACAGTTGCCCAACACAGAAGTGCAAAATTGTTTGAAGCAAGAGGTGAGGAACTAAACTTGTCATTTTGATATCTTTCAGATATATACAATGCGCAACTCCAACTTGGCTCAACTGGGTGTTGTCTTGCTAACAGGCTCCAAACCAAAACTTGTATGTTTTTATTGATTATATGTTTTTAATAACTGAATGCAGATTTTACAGCTTGAGAAAAGATTACAAGACCAATTTCAGGTCCGCCGTGCTTTGGAACAAGCATTGGGTTATAGGACTTCTTCCCAAGGTGATATAGATAAAATGTCAATGCCCAAGGTATCTTTTAGTTTTTGTAGATTCTATCTGATAATATTTTCTTGTAGAAGAACTTAGCCTTGGTGGTTTAGTCTCATTGGATTCACATGGAGTCTGGGCCAACACCTGTTTTCATATTTTAACTACTCTCATAAATCATTTCCTACCCATAAAATTAATACATTTTAGAAGACCTAGAGCTTTACTAAAGATATGGAAGACCCTTGCTTGATACATTTATACCACAACTTATGCTTTAATTGACCTATGTTTGTTTGGTACCATAAAGTATAAGAACCTTGCATCTAACTTTCATTTCTGTTGCTAAAAAACTATTAGCACTTCCATTTCATCTCTCCAGTTGTCATCGGATCATATAAGTCACTTTTATTCATCTTTAAGTCAAGTCTTTTACTTACTTCTTGCCCATCTCTGTTATTCCTGTGGCTATATTTAATATTTCCTTTTTTTTTTCCCTTCAAAACTGTAGCCGGCCACAGAACTGATTAAGGAAATCGCTGTGTTAGAGTTGGAAGTTGTATATTTGGAGCAATACCTTCTCTCATTGTATCGGAAGGCATTTGATCAACAAATTCCATCTGTATCTCCTACTACTAAGGATGAAAGATTAAAATCACCTTTAGCTACCCCGAGACCAAGGTTTGTGGAAGATTCTGAGCCTGCTATCACATCTAAAAGAGAAACCCCTGCTATCCAATCTGGTTGTCAATTAGTTGACAATCAGTGGAAGGAATCCACTGTTATTGAAGAAGAAGATAGGCTATTAGATTCTGGTGTTCACCGATGTCACTCCTCACTGTCACAACGTTCTGCACTTCCAAGTAGATCGTCTCCTCCAGCAGAGTCTTTGGGTAGAGCTGTACGTGCTTGCCATTCACAACCATTATCCATGATAGAGGTAAATTTAGCATGTACTCTGTAAAGTTTTTTTTTTTTTTTTTTTTTCTTATCCTTCAGCTTCCCTACAACTGCCAATCACATTACAAGCCGTTCAAGCTTGAAAACATATTGTCTGCTATAAGCCTGAAAGCAAAGGGAATGTCGCTTTCTTCCCTCTCATTGAACAAAATTTCTTCACACCTCGTGGAATTACTGTTCAATTTCTGTAAAATCCACTTACACTGCAAAGATACAGAACAAATGATTGTAGGCAAACTTACCAACTTGTATTTTTATGGGAAAGTTTCGCCTTCTCTGGATTATGACTTTCAATGGCTTTTCTACAGTATGCCCAGAGTGCACCAAATATAATCAGTCTAGCTGAGCACCTTGGAACTCGCATTTCTGATCATGTGCCAGAGACGCCAAACAAGCTATCTGAGGATATGATCAAGTGCATGTCAGCTATATACAGTAAGCTTGCTGACCCACCAGTGACGCATAATGGTCTTTCATCTCCAAATTCATCCTTATCATCGATGAGTGCATTTTCCCCTCAAGATCAGTGTGATATGTGGAGTCCTGGGTTCAGAAATAATCCAACTTTTGATGCACGACTAGACAACCCTTTTCATGTAGAAGGACTTCAGGAATTTAGTGGACCGTACAGCACAATGATTGAAATCCCTTTGATCTATAGAGATAGTCAGAAGTTGGGTGATGTTGAACACTTGCTTCAAAATTTTAGGTGAGTCCTCATGACATTAAATTTTTGAGATACCACTTGTAATGTATGCCCCTTGAGCAACATATATTTACATTGTACTTCCATTCTATTCCAATCATGTTATGCTTATCTAGTTCATTTTACAGGTTGCTCATTTCTCGACTGGAAGCTGTCGATCCTAGGAAGTTGAAACATGAGGAGAAGCTGGCATTCTGGATCAATATACATAATGCATTAATGATGCATGTAATGGACCTCATCCATAAAATTATTAATTACTTGTTGACTCATTCTATGGTTGTATTTCTGACATCAGCTGGAAGATGAAACTGTTCTTTGTTTTCTGTAGGCGTATTTGGCTTATGGGATTCCACAAAATAATGTCAAGAGGCTCTTTCTCCTACTGAAGGTAAGAAGAGCTTACTAATTTCACTTGATAAAACAATCCAGTATATGTTTCCTTACATGGTTGTAGCATCCAGGCTGCCTATAACATTGGGGGGCACACGGTCAGTGCAGACACTATACAGACCTCTATTCTTGGATGCCGGATGTGTCGTCCTGGACAGGTAAATAGCAAGTCTTGGTTTCTCTTTATAAAGTTCCAGTCTTACAGTTATTTGAGAATATACAGGATTCTCTTCTTTAGCCATCCTTATTTTCTTTGTTTTACTTTTGTCTTCATTAAGAGGTCAAACATATGACTCCTTCCCCGGCCTCTCTTCAAATCACTCCAAGAAGGAAAAGAGGGAAGGAAACACATGAAAAGTGTATTTAACTCTTCTGGACAAAACAAAGCTGTTGTTATACTGGCCGTTCCAATTTGCTTAGCAAACCACATTCAACTTGATATTTGTAGTGTTACTATCAAGCTTTATCCAACATCATGTTTGTGGTGTAGCTGATAAAATTTTTTCTTGCTTGTAGTGGATTCGCTTATTACTCTTGTCAAGAGGAAAATTCAAGACAGGAGATGAACGTCAAGCATATGCAATTGAACATCCAGAACCCCTACTGCACTTCGCTCTCAGCTCAGGAAACCATTCCGATCCTGCGGTAATTGACTGTATATCCTTGGTTTATTTTTCATATCATTAATATCTAATATTTAAACTGTTCATAAATGTGCCATGGGATAGCTACATCAAATCTCAATTTGTTTATAAATCAAAATGCCTTGATATAGTTTCTCTGTGGTTTGTCTTTCCCGACATGAATTTTTATGAACCTTCTAAACTTATTTCAGGTTCGTGTGTACACACCCAAGAGAGTATATCAGGAACTGGAAGCTGCAAAAGAAGAGTTTATCCGGGCTACCTTTGGTGTACGCAAGGACCACAAAATTCTTCTACCAAAGGTTGTGGAGTCATATGCAAAGGATTCGAGTTTATGCCCTGCTGGTATCATGGAGATGGTTCAACAGTCTTTGCCTGAATCTTTAAGGAAGAGTATAAAGAAATGTCAGGCAAGTAAATCCCGCAAGAGCATTGAATGGATTCCTCACAATTTTACTTTTCGGTATCTTATATCTAAAGAGCTGCTGAGGTGATTGTGTTCTTGAGCTCACTATTCCATATTTTGATCAAGATTTCTATATAGGAAGATTTGACTCTTTTTTTTTTCCTCTGTACAAAGTAGAATATGAAGCTGGAATTGGTAGGCCGGTTAGAACATTAGGCATTTTGTATTTATGTAATGTTATCACCATTCTGGCATGTTACGAGATGAAGTATCTATGAAATCTATAGTTTTGTGAAAGAATTCCATTAATTATTTAACTTGCAAAGAAAAATTAACTTGATAATATGAAATCGAACAGGATAAATGTTCCTGTCAAGGTTGGAAACACAACTTGCAGGTCAATTATTGTTTAGGGTTTCTGATAATCTAGATTACACTACAATAATTGACCTTTGCCCTGTGAGACGGGGCATCCATCCTGCTCTGTATTCACATCCGTCATTCTGTCGGTGGAGTGAGCGTAAATATACACACTATTATTTTGTTCTAGGTAAAAATAATTGCCATCATGTTAATCTACAGAAGCCCTTCTTTTATTGATAAAACATGATAATATCCAAATTCTAATATCAAAGCAGAGCTCAGGTTTGAATGGTTGAATCAAAATTATTGAGCACTAAACTGCTATTCCTGAACCCTGATTCTCTCTTAAACAAAAGAGACAGAATTTGGACCCTAAACTTTGCATACAGAAAACGAGACCAGGCTACACTACAAGTTAATTTATCTAATACGGGCTTTCTCCCTCATAATTTCCAGGAGGATTATAAAAACATATGGTTAAAGTAACCTGCTCCTTAGCACAAGTAGCTTGAGCACACCCCAGCTCCAGAGATTTCCTCCATACCACTTGTGTGTAAACACCGCACATGTGATTTGGTGCACATGAGTTATTAGCATGATTGTAGTAGTTTTTCTCCTTGACCCAAGTGTCAACCGCCATGCGTGGCGTCGCCGTCGTGCCGCTTGCCCAGAATTGGTTTGCACCGTATTTGCCATTCGTCAGGTTAGCAAATTGGCACCCCATTTTGTTTCTTTGGTATCTAACAAGGCGGCCAGAGGCATTGGCTAGATTTTCACTCCACTTGAGAGCACCAACTCCAACTGCAGCTCTTGCTTGGTTGTGAGGTTCAAGGAACTCCTTGGCTACACTTGTTACTGCGACGTCTGGAACACCGGTGCCTGAGTTGCTGCTGGTCGGGCTTCCCACTGGGACAACGCCATAAACTGAGGGGAGGAACAGGGCTAGAACCAACAGTGCAAGCAATGGTTTCGCCATTTCTTTGTTGATCTCAATCAAATGCTTTCTTAAAGGGTCGAATTATTTGTAGAGTACAATACAAACAAATCCACTTTGTTTAAATAATTGATCAAAATTTGTCTTTTTCATAAATTATTAAAGACATGTTAAACAACTGTAAGCTAAGTACGAACAAGTATATTTAATGCTAAACTCCGATTGTTATTAAATGTGTTAGGCTTTATTTTGACACTGATGACTCATACGTGTAAAGTGCTAAACCGACTTAGAAATTACATGTGATACCTAAACATGAAATGAGAGAATAAATGAGAAACGGTTTTTAAAGTGGTTCGGATGCTCAAAACCGAATCCCACATCCACTGTTATTGTATTAATAGATGGATACAGTTAGGTCGTATGTAGCGAGTTGAGTTACAATTTAGAGATAATACACAGAGAGAGAGTGTGTATGCTGTTTTAGACTAAGATAAGCCAATCCTATAAATGAGAGGGGAGTCCTCTATTTATAGTGGGAGAATTCAAGGTAATGATTACAAGTCTGCAAGTGGGTAGGTGTCGTGTAAGTCATTCCTTGCATCCCATTAGTTATCTGCATGAGAAATATCCTCAAATTGCATAGGGCTTGGGCAGGTGAACGATCCCTGGCCACTCGCAAGCTTGGCGTCCACCTGCTGTACTGACAAGAACCATACCTCTTTCGTCACTACGCGATGTGACAACGTCTGGATGGCACAAAACCTTCCTAAATCCTGATTAGCTCTTGTTGACGAGAGTCCACATCAGCCTTAACTTTTTAGGCATAACAGAAGTCCCCCAATTTTTAAGGTTTAAAGATTGAACCTTAAGAACTTCATGATTATGCCGTGACTTGACCTGTCTCGAATGACGTTTGGTTGAGCTGATCGAGCTACAAGGAGGTCGCAGCATACGCCTCTAAGAATAGCACAAGCGAACTGAGATGGCTTTCTCTGACAGGTTCAACGACCTGGATCAGGCCCCACTTAATGTCGTACCGACATGTTTCAAATCTCATTCACAGTTCGTGACCTGAGAATACTTAGCACATTTTTACAAAGAGCAAGGAATCACATCGTCTCGAAACCGATACACGACGAAGAGTGTTTTGTCAAACGACCTCTTCAGATGTTATCTGTTACGCTTGACAGCTAATCTGGTCAATAAAATAATCTTTATTTTGACATACGTGTCTAGTGCATAATAAGTGCCGACCATGCGCATTAAATGCAAGTCATGCTGAAACGACATTCTCTTTCAGACCATTAAATGCGGATGAGGGCACATTTAATGTGGAGGAGATAATTGAGCCGTCGCTTGGTTGCTCCAATGGAGGGAAGCATCGATTGGCACTCTCGAAGCGTGGTGGTTACTTCTTCTCACGGATTAATGACATGTGGTCACAATCATGTTAGAGTAGGTGCCCTAGAGCCAATCGATTATTGTAGAATTGACTCTTTGTAATAATGTTCATTGATCAATAGAAAGACATTTTATTCTATATCACGTAAATCATATTGTATGTATTGATATATGTTCTTAGAATGGTAGAACCGTGATGAGGGTATCAAGTGTTTCAAATCTTTATAGTGAGAACCCTATGAGCTCATATGGTGGCCATTCTAGAAACGTCCGTAGCCCCAATATTGTTATGAAGTAAGGGCACGAATAATACGGTAAGCCTATCATAATGTTGAACGACCTTGTCGAAAGGTAGTGACTGATCTCACTTGTCAATGTTGTTTGGTGAAAACCTGGTGCAACAATGGTTGCTTGTTGTAGGCAAGTTCACTAGACTGACCCACTAGAGAATTCCATATGGATGGTAACCCCAGTGAATATGGAACAAATCCTCTAACGAATAGTGATGTATGTGATCCTTAGACTTGAGATCACTAGAGCGCCTTGTGCACCGATTAGTGTAGTTTGACACTAGCCAAACGCAGTTCTTTTCAGAGCTGTCAATACGGTAGTGATTAGCTGCATCAAAGAGTGTATCAGGACTATGGTGGATCGATAGAGGATTCATCACTCTCGGGTACTAGATAAGTTATCTCACGATGCAATTCAGTAAATGACAATGACACTAAAACTGTGGTAACATTGGGATTGAGTTATTGCTCAATCCAGTTTATAATTCTGGTTATTGGTCCAGTAACTAAATACATACATATCGAGAGTAACTAAGGTTGACACTATTTCCGTGCCTCGGTCTTGAAGAGATAACAGATGATGAAAGGATTAAATTGTACAGTAACCATATCGTTGATAGGTAGCTACTTCGCTGAATTCGAATCTATCGGGTGGCCATGATGCCTTGTTAGGGGCTAATCTTGGTCTATATGTAGTGAGACGATTAATTGGTATTAATCGCGATACTACATACTGCCGGTATGATGAGGAGCCTACGGGTCACACACATAGAAGATAATTTAAGGATCAGTTTGTGTAAAAGGTGTTTTCATCTTTTTAGGCGAAATGATATTTTAGTAATCTCACAGTGCAATTAAATTTGTTGAGGTTGTTGCCTTTATTTAATTTGATATTAAAATTAAATAAGTGAGATTATATTTAAATATGTGTACGTATATATTTAAATGAATTATTGTTATTGTTAAATGTTAATATATTTTTATGTATATTAATTGAAATAATAATAACTAAAATAAAAATATCTAAATGGGGCTGTTTGGACATATGGGTTGTTTGGGTTGATGCCTAAGCCTATTCCTAATTGGAATAGGGTTTCACATGCACTATATAAGTGCATGTGTTCTATGAATTAAAAAAAAAAAAAAACACTTTTCATTAAGTCATTTTATATTCATTGATTGAAAAGCTCTGGCTCCTTTCTCTCTACCCCATGCCACTTTATTTTGATTGAATCAAATTTATTTGATTCTTGAGGCTAAAGAAGATCTAACAAATCCCTCTTTAGCTCTCCGGGTTATTTTCGTGTGGACTACCGCTAGTTCGATTCTACTTTAAATTGGTAGCGAACCCAGTCAAAGACAAGTTCGAAGGAGCCTCCAAACGAGCGTATGAACTCTAATCTTTACTCTGATCATTCATATTACTACAGAATATTTTATTTAACATATTATTTGTAATATCTGTATCCTAATCTTGGCTTAAAATGGAATCGATCACTATTTTATTTTTGTTTTCCGCTGCCATGGGTTTTGTTCATTTCCTAACAGATCAATGGTGAGAAACATATCCTGCCCAAGCGTCGCTTGCCTAGGGAAATCAATCGTCGCTTCTTCCCCCTATAATACCCCAGGCTCGCCTCAAGCTTTGTCATAAAACTCATACTTTCAGAGAAAGAACAAAGCTCTTGCAAAATCAGTCTCCCATTTTTCCAGTTGATGCACACCCTTCATTACGACAGGAAGTTCATTCCCTGCAGCCAAAAGGTAAGAAAGATTTCTCCTTCGCTTTCTTTTATTATTTTGTTAATAGCTTGACTTGACGATAATGGTGGGTATGAACTTGTCTGGTAAACTTTTGTGGTGTGTATTTCTAGGCAGTGGTGAGAAGAATGCTTTTTCTTTTATAAAGAGTGAAAATTTAGGGCACAAATCCTTAGGGGTTGATTCCTAAGGGTTTTTCTAGGGTTTAAGGAAGGTACAATAGGGTTTTTTTGCTCTTCCAAATCATCGTACAGAATACTATACGAAGACTTAGTTATCTCTACGTGTTGCCCCCTTTTCAGACCTTAGGAGCAATGGATACATCAACGACCAAAACAATCGAGGGGACGAGCTTGTAGGCACCGAATGTCCCATCGGGTCCCGTGCAAGAGATTTTGTCAGTGGCCACCTAAGATGAGATACAGAAGACAGTGGACCAATACGCACTTAGCATGGACATCTACCAGTATAGAACATATACAGTTCGGAATCCCCTAAAGGGAATGGTCGCGATCTAGGAGGCGATCTTCAAATGTGGGGCGTTGATACCTTTTCACCCCTTTATTAGATCGATCCTCAACCACTTCAAGGTCGTGCCATTGCAATTGACACCCAATATGTATATGATAACTATTGCTATGTATATCGCATGTGGCGAGAGTAGCCTCAGCCAACTGACAACCCTAGAGCTCGTATGCTCTTATTATCTGAAGAAAAGCTGGGATAAAGACTCTTTTTACCTCTCGAAGTGATCTACGATTGAGAGAGGAATATTTGGTTTAGCCCAGTAACGTCGGGGCCTATGAAACCAATTTTTTCTTATTTCTTTTTTTAGTACGATGGCGTTTGCCGATTTAGGGAACCGAGTAGGTTTTCCCTTTTTTCACTTTGCGAATTGTTCATTTTCCTTCAATCTTTGCTTTTTAACGAACTTGTTTGCCTCATTGCAGGAAATAAGACGACTCTAACTGATTTCAATCAAATTGTAGCATTCGATAATCTACCTGAGCAAAGTCGCAACGCGAGACTACTCGTGACTATCGCCAACCTAAAAATACAGTTTCTTCAATCCCGAAGCGTCTCTGGAACCCTTAGTCCGTAAGTGTCCTCGCACTTAGAGTTTCTTTCTTTTGCTTGTAGTGGCCTTTTTCGCTAATCATGCTTTCATTCAACGACCATGCCACCTAGAGTTCTGAGGCTGACGAAGAGGACGAGGATGAGGACGAGGACTAGGGGGTTCGTTTTTTCCCAGGTCGCCCTTACTGAGCAAGTCGAGGCGATCCCTGGCGATACCCCCATAGGAGGGATACAGATGGGTGCGCGAATACCCTCAGAACGACAAGGTGAAGCTTCTCGGCTCGCGGCCACTCGCGCACCCAAGTAGAAAACCATGGGCCAAAAAACTAAGAAAATGAAATAGCTGCAGGCTGAAGAATCGGAGTCTGAGCCAGAGGGCTTAAGGGTGCAGCTCAGGAGGTCACAGCCTTACTAGGCTTTCCGCTCAAGGGCAACCCCAAAGCCCACGTTTGGCATTTCAGTGATCTCCGAGCGCTCACGCAAAGGACAGGGGGAGGCCACAGTTGCCCCAAAAAGAGCAAGCAAACAACCGATCGACGAGATGCCAGTTCCTTTGGGGGCAGACAGAGCTGT